TGGCTCCGAAGCTGGCAAGTCAAGGTCTGCGGAACGACGGTTGCGAGACGGTCTCGGGTCATGCTCGGATCATGCTCGGATCATTCTCGGAATCGTCCGTCCATTGGGATTAGAGTTTTCACTTGTTTCTTGAAGTGAAGATTTCGTGGCAGGTGCAGCACTTTGTGAACCTCCATGTGCAGATTTCGTGGCAGGTGCAGCACTTTGTGTACCTCCATGTGCAGATTTCGTGGCAGGCACAGCACTTTGGGAACCTCCTTGTGCAGATTTCGTGGCAGGTGCAGCATTTTGTGAACCTCCCTGTGCAGATTTCGTGGCAGGCACAGCACTTTGTGCACCTCCATGTGCAGATTTCGTGGCAGGTGCAGCACTTTGTGAACCTCCACGTGCAGATTTCCTGGCAGGTACAGCACTTTGTGAACCTCCATGCGCAGATTTCGTGGCAGCCGCAGCACTTTGTGAACCTCCATGTGCAGATTTCGTGGCAGGCACAGCACTTTGTGCACCTCCATGTGTAGATTTCTTCGCAGGCACAGCACTTTGTGAACCTCCATGTGCAGATTTCGTGGCAGGCACAGCATCCGGGGAGCTGGAAGCTGAGAACTGGCGACTTTGTAGTACAACTTTAGTACGCGGAGTATGTGGCGAGCTGGACGATGAGAACTGGCGACTTTGTAGTACAACTTTAGTACGCGGAGTATCTGGCGAGCTGGACGATGAGAACTGGCGACTTTGTAGTACAACTTTAGTACGCGGAGTATCTGTGGAGCTGGAAGCTGAGAACTGGTGACTTTCTAGTACAACTTTAGTACGCGGAGCTATCTGTGCAGCTAGAAGCTGAGAACTGGCGACTTTGTAGTACAACTTTAGTACGCGGAGTATCTGTGGAGCTGGAAGGTGAGAACTGGCGACATTGTAGTACAACTTTAGTACGCGGAGTATCTGGCAAGCTGGACGATGAGAACTGGCGACTTTGTAGTACAACTTTAGTACGCGGGGAGTATCTGTGGAGCTGGAAGCTGAGAACTGGCGACTTCGTAGTACAACTTTAGTGCGCGGAGCAATCTGTAGAGCTGGAAGCTGAGAACTGGCGACTTTCTAGTACAACTTTAGTACGCGGAGCAATCTGTAGAGCTGGAAGCTGAGAACGGGCGACTGTGTAGTACAACTTTAGTACGCGGGCGGAGCAATCTGTAGAGCTGGAAGCTGAGAACTGGCGACCTTCTAGTACAACTTTAGTACGCGGAGCAATCTGTAGAGCTGGAAGCTGAGAACTGGCGACTTTCAAGTACAACTTTACGCGGAGCATCTGGGGAGCTGGAAGATGAGAACTGACTGGCGACTTTCTAGTACAACTTTAGCACGCGGAACAACCTGTGGAGCTGGAAGCTGAGAACTGGCCACTTTGTAGTACAAGTGTAGTACGCGGAGGAGTCATCTCTCGCTGCTGAGTCAGCTCTCGCTCTGTGAGTCATCTCTCGCGACTGAGTCATCTCTCGCTGCTCAATTATCTCTCCCTGCTGAGTCAGCTCTCGCTATAGCCATCTCTCGCCGCTGAGTCATCTCTCGCGGCGTGCAGGTTTGGCACAGTTCATACTGATAGTATTTGGTTGCATTTATGCAGGACAGGACACTCAACTGCTGGTCAATACACCACTCAGCATACACCACTCATCATACACCACTCGTCATACACCACTCATCATACACCACTCGTCATACACCCCTCTTGTCGTGGCAAAGATACAACCCAGTACGCTGTTGTGAGCTGCTGATCCTGCAGGGGGCACACACCTTACACACGTGGAATCCCGTGGGTCAAAAGTCCGGAGCGCGTGCGTTTGACTGGAGGACGCGCATGTTGGAGAGAATGTGGACACTCCTATAGGTCAATTTGTTCTTATAGGAAACTTCCGCCGCCGGCTTGCCCGGGAACTACTTGTATTTATTTATAATCTCCCATGCGATTCCTGTGGAGGGGTCAGGTGTTCACATTCTTTAGTGAATCCCTAGGGAATTATGATTGGAGCGCTTGAGAAAATGAAGACAAGGAACACCTTCACCAGTAGAACATGTTGCACTTCCACTTTTTGACCCTGGTTCAGGGCATCCATGAATGTGTCTTGCCATTCCATTTTCTAGGAATGTATGCGCCCTAGAGTTGTGGGCACTCCGTTGACTACTGCCACTTCTGCTTCAAGCTGGCAAAGAAACAGAAACTTCATCTCAAATCTGCTCACCAGTTCCCTTCACTGTGTCTGGCTTTTGATGTGTCCGTTCCATCTTAATTCCACCATATTACAGCATAATCTCTAGAAAAGGAGGCGGCAGCACGTTTCAGAAAAATGTTGATCCGTAGAACATGACCTCAATAGCATGTTTTCTTGGCTCTTTGGATATATAGAGCATGCAAAATTTGTGGGTTTGTCATTCTTTAGTAAACTCGTTTTTTCCTTAGACATTGCATAGTCCTGACTCCTGTGGTTTGAGGATCAAGGGCCTTTCTAAAGAATTACCATTTTCTACGCACTTTGGCCCCCCCCCGACTTAGTTTTTCACGAGGAGTATCATATATGTTCATACATATATACAATATACGTACATATGACATATCATTATTGCACAAATGTAGAAGATTCGATTGGCCATGCAAAGTTCCACCGAGTTCTAGGTCCCTCGTGTGTTCTCCAAGATTTTCCAAGCCAAGATTCCAGGGAGGTTGGGATTCTGGTTGGAAAGCGTAGGTTCCAGATTTGAAAGGTTGCAGGAGATTCGTAGGGCCTTCCAAGTTTGAAGCTTGATGAGTTCGGAGAACGAGGATCCAACTGAGAGTCCCATTCTCACCTTAAACCAAGAAAACCCATAAATACCGGCCAATGATACCTGGTGATCCACACCACAACGCAACAAAAGCAAACCACGTGTCTATGCAGCTTCTGGGTGCTGGCTTTTCAATGCTTTTGCACTAAAATTTGCCTACATGTCTTAGCTTGCCCCACACCGACCATGCACAACCCTCAGGGTTTCGGTCTTACATAAGCATAAACATGCCCAATACATGTATATATATATATAACTTAAACATGTAGTTGTGTTTCCTATAGCCAATGACTCTGCAAGCACATGATCGGAATGTCCGTTCAGAGTGGAACCTAGATGATTAATGTAGTACACATATCATTCGCAAGCAGTCTGAAATTGCTCTTGTGCAACCGTTTTGGGGACACAGCCTTGAGATGCCTTCAAGGACAACATCCACAACTATATATATATATATGATTATATATGTATACATAGAGGGATTGGTAAATTTAAGGATCGACCCCCCTGTTGAAGTTCTCTTCGATCGTTCCTGTTCAGCTTTAGATCATGAAGTCGCATGCGCAAAGCTGCAGGAAGCACCATGACGCATCCTTTGCAACCTCATGGCTGATGCAACTGGTCCTGCTGGGTACTCAACAACATGCCGTGTTTGGCAGAAAAGGTAATGGCGGTTAGTCAGTTAGTCCTACTTGGCCACTGAAGACACTTGAAAGGCTTATAAAAGGAAGCATCAGAAATGCAGCAACAGTGCAACTCTTGAAGACATTTAAGCCTTTCATGAGCTGCAAGCTTTTCAAGCCTGCAACGACGCAAAAACAAAGCAGCGACCAACCAGGGCCCGCCGAGCAGAATGAAAGATAAGGTGCAAAGCATCTCAATATGGACAAACTTAAAGTTAAAGACACATATCGTCAAATATCGTCAATCTCTGGATAGGTCCGCTGAATCTTCTGTAGCAAAATTCAGTTCGAGGATTCTCTTCTCTTGGCTGGCCCATTGGCTTTCAAAACTGCTCCGAGAGAAGTGGGGTTGATCACTGTTGATCACACCATGTCAAAGCAAAGCAACGGACATCGATGAAGGAACTAGTTTGCTGTTTGGTAAACCGATAGAACACTGTCCCACAGGCATGTGTTGGATGTCGTCACGCAAGGCGGACATCCTTTCCTGGTCGGACAAACGCACTTTTAACAAATCTGAATCTGCAGTTGGCCCATGACTACCAACGCTGGCAAAACCATGCGGGCTATATGCGTGGTGATGCCATCCCTTGCAGGGCTCTCGTGGGGCGAACGCGCCAAACAGGAGCAAAGGAAACCAAAGAGCAGCACCACACAGAGAATGTGAATCTTCTCTCTGTGACTGCAAGATCTCTCGGTGTCAACAAGTGGCACACCCGAAATCCTGGAATAGAAAGGTAGCCACTGCCATCCACTGCCTATCTGCATAATTGCGCTCCGGTGCCACGGAGAAGTAAGAACCTACTATTCTATGACAATGATTCGCTAAGCAAAGCAGTGACACCAGAAAAAATCAGTCAACCTTCCAGAACTACAATGAAACTAGGTTGTGATCTATCGTCTACCTGTATATTCTCTGTGTAAAACAAGCAGTGCTCAGCAATCCTGGGCCTAAAAGCTGGCTGGAGGGAAGTTTGTTGGCCTTGGACAAGGCAGCCAACAGTGAACATCTGAAATGCAAAATCAACATGCAAAGATTCATGATTATGGCAGTGCTTTTGATTTGCTTTGGTTCCTTATCACTTTGAGGATGTGCAAGTATTGGGTGGCCGACTGCCAATGCTTTGGCCATGCATCCTGAATGGCCGCAGGAAAAGCAAAGTTTGAGCCATTGCTACTGTAGTTGGCCCACGGCGGATAGACGGCCGTGGGCTTTTCTTACATGTTTTTTGATATATTGTTTTCTACAGTACTACGTGTGGGATTTTTTTTGGGTGGTGGGGTGGGGGTGGGGCTAATTAGCACACCTGTGGCGTAGCATGTTATCTACTTCAGTTTATTTTCTTGCGGGTTACATTCGGTTAGACACTGCATCCTTTTTTTGGCTCAGTTCAGAGATGCCGCAACCTTTGTTTCTTTTCTTTGGTGCGTTTCGTTGGCTCTTTTGTTGCGGTTGGCAGGTTTTGTGGACGTGGACGAGGTACCCCTGGTTCTTCGACCTAGTTTTCGTGTTCACCCAGGTTATCTGGACGACTTGACTTTGGTTTGGAGTAAAGTTCGTGGTGGGGATCCTTTGGTTGGTTTGACCCTCGAAATAGTTTTGGACCAGGACCGTTGATGTTTGGATTTTCAGGGTTTGACGGACTACTCGAATTTTTGTGGGGTTTGTGGCTAGCAGTGTGGGAACATTATCAATCACTCCAAGGGGTTTGCGGGGTTTGACCAAACCATCACTCCAAGTCGTTCTATCAGATATCAAAGGACACATTATCATTCATTACATACTCACTATATTCAATGTTGATAAGTATAGGAGTTATATTCATTAATTTTATCAGTGTATATGACTCCCACCGCTTGGAGCAGCTCCTGTGAAGAGTGTAAAAGTCGCACGCATGTCCGACGCCAAAAGTAGTTGCGTAGTTTCAAAAATGCTTCGAAATCGCCATTTCGCCTCAGCGAAACTCTGATTTTATCGAAATCTGCATGGAATTCACCATGATTCCAAAGGATTTTTTTGTCGCTCACATCATTCCTAATGGAATTACGCATATTTAGGATTGATTACCCCACGACCATCATTCATTACCCCACGGCCGTCTATCCGCCGTGGACCCTGTAGTTTGCCTGATTTGCAGTATTTGCACTGCTAGCTCTTAGAAGTTCGTCATGTGGGAAGAATTGAAGATTGAAGCTCCCAACTAAGGATTGGCAAGGGACAATTGAAGGCTTGCTAGTTTTACTATATACATATTTCTCTCCTGCAGCAGCGAATCTTCTACTTTGCACACCAAAGCGTCATCTTCCACACAAAACATTTCTTGGACTACCCTTGCCTCATTTGTTTGCAGTCCATGTCAAATGGTTTAAACACCTACTCCTGCCATGTTTATCTATCTCTTAACTTGGGGTCGAGCATCTGTATAAATCAATCTTAATGTGGCCAGAAGTGTAAATTGAACTGGTGTTGAGCAGGTGACCAAACCTCGTTTCATTGATTTACGCTTATGGCTTATGGATTCCAATGCTTCCCTGCTGCCAGCCTGTGGAATATAGCCACTTTCCTGCACGACGACCTGACAACGGTCCAATGGTGTTGGCCTTCCTACTAAGACTGTCAGCCACCTAGAAAAAATGGCAAAGGTGGCAAAAGCTCCATTGAAGGGACTTCTTTGGGCAGATTTGCTGGTATCAGTATTAGCAAGCAATATGTGGTGGTGTCTTCTACATTTTGGCATGTCAATCCTGTTGGCAAAGCTTCGAGCTGTGAGTCCATCTACTGTGTGAAGACGTTTGTTCAATCCAACACTACATTTGCTGTCGTAATGATTGTTTTGTTCGTGTTCTCGATATTCTAGATTGTTCTAGATTGAAACATGCCAGTTCTCGGATGTTTTTGGGTTCTTGTAGGTGCTAGTCACAGTTGAGTTGCACGCGCAACATTTTTAGTTGAACTCGCAACTGTTGCTTTGGTTGCATCCTGCCTCAGGAATGCTGTCTTGCACAACTGAGACCTTGCTGCTTGCTGCTGTAGAAGCAACCTAGGCAGGGGAGCACAGAGTTTCAAATCAAACCGATGATAGCCCTCTCATGTCTTTTTCCTCTCTCTCTCTCTCTATCTTGAGCACTTCCCACTGCCTGACAAGTTGCCTACTGATTATGTAAACTAGAACCTAGCAATCTCACCCGTTGAAGTTAAAAACCGTCTGCAAACAAACCTGCACCTGTTGCACATGTGGTAAGGGGAGGCTGCTCTGCTTGGCTTAGGCGAGTTCACTTCATGATTTCGATCGGGTTGCAACATCTGAGCATATTGTGTCATGACTTGATACTCGCTCTGTGCTTGCCGAGGGAAGCACTCCTGGAGAGTTACACTTTGGCGTAGCCGCAACTGCAGGGATCCCATCAAAGATTGCGTTCATGAACGCTACTGTAAGCTACTAGGAACAAAGACGCTAGTAGTAACAGGTGCCACGCTAGTCTAGTAGCAACTGTGGATCTAGGAACATTAAATCAAGCGTGATTCAAGTGCTTGGACCAATGAGACTCGGCGCCATCGGGCCTGCACTGTTTGGCGCGATCTCTTTTCAGATCAGAAACCACTCCAAACACTCAACGTGCACTGTTAGGCTTTGCTGGACAGTACATATCTTTCGGGAACGACGCAAAAAAACAAGGTTTGTCCTTCCAAAAAGTTCAACTGGAGATTGCATTTCAATATTGTATTAACAATCGACATATTGGCATATGTTAGCCTTTTCGCTGGGCTTGCCACCGGCATCGCTGGGTTCATTGATGCATCGAATCTTACAAAATAGATCTCTTCGGCCAGCCTCCATGGACAAATCCCAATTGCACACTTGCCCTCCTTGATGGAGTTCCCTGATGCGTTCGCACTTTCCACTTGGAATATCTTGACATCTCTTGCAGGGTTGTGTACAACTGCTCATCGCATCGTCTGAAATCTGTGGCCAATGGCCGAAGCTGTTGTTGAGGAGAAATGCATAGAACCTGAGAACACTTATGCAGCAAACTATAGACTTGATTAGGCTTGAATCGACCTGACTGACATGAACATTGGAAATTGGGGGATTCGGGATGGATTCGAGATGGCCGCGGCCTCTGCGATGGAGTTCGGATGATCTGCCTGCCTGAGCAAATTTAAACATGTGTATGGGTGCAAAAAGCAGTAGAAGCACATGAAAGCTCAGAAAATCTCAGAAAAGTAAAGCTCTACTCAGTCTTCTTTAAAAGTATATAAAGCTGAATCAAGAGATTGACTTTCTATGCAAAGCGCAATTGAACCTTTCCCAGCGATGCCCTAGTAAGCTGTGAGCCGATGCATTCGCAGCAGTCCTCCAACCAGTCAACCAGTTCTTCAGACTGACTCAACAAACCACTCATCTCTTTCTTGTGCCTGACCGGCTTTGAAATGGCGTTCGAAGGCCTCGGGACGCCCATGTCCGTTGTCACAGCCTTTACCTTAACGATCTTTGTTCAGTTTGGCAAACAGGCTGGAATGCAAACGATTGTGAGCTCCTCCTGTCAACAGGAAAGCCTCTTTTAGCTTGCACTGGCCACGCTGGCACAATTGCCCCGAACAATTTTGTCTAAGTCAACTGGGCTCAAACAAGTTGGATGATTGCCCCATTGTACTCAACGCTGGTTAACCACGGAAAATGAATGGAATGCACTACCAAGGAGGGGTTTAGGGACCCGGGTGTTTTGACCCACAGCCACTTCGCTCGGCATTAACTCAGGGAAAGACCTGCGCGATCGCTGATTGCTTCCGGTGTCTTGAGAAGGACCACTGGGCCTTGGCAAAATCCGCCCGCACCTTCGGTGCCGAGGCGTTTTTATAGGGCACGCGCTATATGTAAGCTAGCATATGCAAGCCAATAGCTTTAGCTAGGGGGGGGGGCCATTTTCGCTCTAGAATCCTGTGTTTTTTCACGTTTTTGGAACCGGCTTAAAATGCTGGAAGATGAATTCGTGCTATTTTGAAGCCCCTGGTGATGCAAGCAATGCAATTTCCTTCCTTTGCGTGATTTGAATCATCTGCGCGGTAAAGTGTAATTGGACTGAGGCCGGACATTTGGCTGAACAGGCTCCCCTAACGTGGCTCAACATAGCTTCCATATTGCCTAACATAGCCCTAGAAGTCACTATCTAACGGACATGTCTGCGAGATAGGGACTTGAACGCAAAACATGGCCCAACGAGGGCTCAAAAGGGACTGGAATAAAGTAAAGAGATTGCCTAACATAGCCCTAGAAGTCACTATCTAAAGGACGTGTCTGCGAGATAGGGACTTGAACGTCGTAAACATAGCCCAACGAAGGCTCAAAAGGGACTGGAATAAAGCCACCCCCCCAACGTGACCGAACATAGCTTCCATATTGCCTGACATAGCTTTAGAAGTCACTATCTAATGGACGTGTCCGCGAGATAGGGACTTGAATGTCCGGATATTTGGCTCCACAGGAGCAGAGATAAGCAGAGATCAGGTCCAGGAACGGTAACATTTTTTCACGTGGCTCAACATAGCTTCCATATTGCCTAACATAGCCCTAGAAGTCACTATCTAACGGACGTGTCTGCGAGATAGGGACTTGAACGCAAAACATGGCCCAACGAGGGCTCAAAAGGGTCTGGAAGAAAGTAAAGAGATTGTCTAACATAGCTCTAGAAGTCACTATCTAAGGGACGTCTCTGCGAGATAGGGACTTGAACGTCGTAAACATAGCCCAACGAGGGCTCAAAAGGGACTGGAATAAAGCACCCCCCCACGTGACCGAACATAGCTTCCATATTGCCTAACATAGCTTTAGAAGTCACTATCTAAAGGACGTGTCCGCGAGATAGGGACTTGAATGTCCGGATATTTTGCTCCACAGGAGCAGAGATAAGCAGAGATCAGGTTCAGGAACGGTAACATTTTCACGTGGCTCAACATAGCTTCCATATTGCCTAACATAGGTGCGAGATAGTGACTGCTGGGGCTATGTTCGACCATATGCAAGCTATGCTCGTGAGAAAATCTTACCGCTCCTGGAAAAAGCTACGTTTGGTCACGTTAGGGGGGGTCTTTGTGCCATTCCCTTTTGAGCCCTCGTTGGGCTATGTTTACGACGTTCACGTCCCTATCTCGCAGACACGTCCTTTAGATAGTGACTTTTAGAGCTATGTTAGGCAATATCTTTACTTTATTCCAGTCCCTTTTGAGCCCTCGTTAGAAAATGTTACCGTTCCTTATCTCTGCTCCTGTTGAGCCAAATATCTGGCGAACGTCCCGAGCTACCTGCGGAAAAGATACACCAATTTGCGACGTTCCCGCATTCTAGCACTATGTTAGGCAATATGGAAGCTATGTTCGGCCACGTTGGGGGGGGTGACTTCTGGGGCTATGTTCAATGGAAGTACCTACCTTGACGACGTGAATAGACTAATTACTAAAATAGCAAGTTTGATAATAGATGTTTTGGGTTCCAACAATATAGGCACTGATATGTCAAACAATCCTTGCGCCAGCAATAGTGTGGTGTGGTAGGGATGGAACTGGCAAGGCTCGCTGCGGATCTGCTCATGCCTGGTGTTCCAGGGTGCTGTGGTCAAACATGTCCAAGTGAGTAATTAGTAGCTTTGTGATGCTTTTGCCTCAAGTCAACTGCTCTGTAATTACTAAAGCAAAACCAAAAAGCTTCAGGCCTGCTCTTGGCTTGGTGCAATTCCCGCAGGGCAGTGACAGCCCCAGTGACCTGTGCAAAGCGTTAGGCGCTGGAGAAACACGCAACACTTGATCAAACAGTTCGATGTTAGTAACCGTTAGTACGGTTGCTATATAACTATTTATCTGCTACTGCTACTTTCTGACTTGGCGCAAAAGCCAGGGGCTGCGCCATCTTCTGAGGAGGTATGTGTGGATGGCGCAAGTCAGCAGTTGGCTGTTGGCTGGGCCATCTTCTGGTGTGTGATTCTCTCTGCATGTGGGACCATGTAGAAGTGTGGTGCCATCTAGTGAGAGCCTTGAAAGAAAGAAAGAATTTTCAAAGGAAGGGAGGAAGGAAGGAAGGAAGGAGGACAGGACAGGACAGGAAAGGAAAGGAAAGGCAAGGAAAGGAAAGGGAAGGGAAAGGGAAAGGGAAAGGGAACGGGATGTGGGTAGCTATATGTGGCTTCCGGAAGCAAAGGTGTGCAAACGCAATGCGAAAGCTCAGCTGGTCGATGTTTTCCACACGCACCAAATCGGTTGCCTTCACGGCAGGTTGGTCAGCCTTCAAAGGCGCGAGCTAGCCACTCTATGGCGGCACGGGAGTTCGCGGTAGCGCGAAGGTCCGATACTCGAACGATCGTCCCGGTATGTGTGGCATGACCTTCACCGAGCGGAAGCGAAACACATACCCTTAGCTGACTTTCTCGCATGCCCCGTGTGTGAGCTTCCGATCAGGTCCAGCCATGTCACGTCTCCTAAGCTAGGTTCCTCAGTCTCGGGAGCATCACCAGGCAGCCGCCGGGCGCGGAGCTTGTTCGCCGCAATGAACTGTGGGTCGTAGACAACATTCCACTGCCGCCATTCTTCCAAGAATCGCCGCGTGCGATCCTGAGCTCCAACCTTCGTCAGCCCGTCTGCAAGCTGCATGTCCGAGTTGCACCATCTCAGCTCTTTGGCCTGGAGCTTCATGTTCTGGACCAGGGTGAGGATCTCGAGGGCTGACAGGAGTCGTACAGGGCTTTGGCGTCCGTGATGAAGACACCCCTCATCTTCTGGGCGGTCTCGCCCGGCTGGTGAAGGTTCACCTTCTCGCCCAACATCTCCATCCACATAGTCCTGACGAACATGAGCTCCTGCTCAGCTTCAGACAGAGCTTGTGTCTCTGCGGCCAAGCTGCTGCGGCATACTCGATGGAGCTTTGCACTGCCCCAGCTGATCACATTCACAGGACCTTTCAGTCCTTTGTCCACCATGTCCTTGTCGACCAAGCCGACGCCGGTGCTGCCCAAATCAGCCCGATTGGCCAGAGCTGCGTCTGACCAGGCCACTGCCACTATGTCTTCGTCCTTCTCGGCAAAGAGGTTGCGCATCTCCAATAGAGCTCGCGGGTGAACTTGTTGATCTCCTTCAGAACTTCTCTTTCACCCTTCGGCAGGATCGATTGGAGGTGGCTGAGCTTTGCGGCATGATGGGGCGCCGTCTGATACACTCGCCATTGAGCCGACCCCAACACGGCTCTGCACTGTCGCCTCTCGGCCTCCGAGATCTCCTTGGCGTTGCTGTCTTCCTGGACCGGGTTGAGGGAGGCGCAAAACTCTTTCTGGTCCAGGATCCAACCACCATCGCTCTTTTGGGAAAGATGTACTCCGCAATGGTTCATTGGCGCACACTCCCACGGCGACCATTTTAGGCTTTCGTGGAATCTTTGCAAGAATTCCGCCCATTGCTGCTCATATTGCCGGTCATGAGGAAGCCGTCCACATGAGCGCCCACCAGGCCGATGGCGACGCGCTTCTGCAGTCGAGGGTCGTGGGCAGTTAAGCGCCACAGACAGGGCTCTGTGGTGAGTCGCTCCATGTTCTGATCAGCTTCTTGAGAACTTCATCAACAAACACATAAAATTCACGAGGAGCTATTGTCAGGCCGTATGCCGCCTTGAGAAACTGAATGGCCTGGCCTTCTTTCAGGCCCATTGCATCTTTGAGCTCCTGGACAGGTTGTCCAAATATTTGGCGGTGCTGCTGGCCCATGTCGCCCTGCAAGAAGGCGGTCTTCGCGTCGGCCTTGAGGAAGCCCCATTGTCTATGGTCGGAGAGCGGACCGAGACCAAGCCAACATCGGGGTCAGTGAAGCCCAAGACCACAAGGCGAGCTTTTGCCTTGACCATGCCAGGCGTGTCCGTCTGCTTGAAAACTAGTACCCACCTCATACGTTCGGGTAAGGCCTTGGCTTCTCGCATGGCCTGCTTCTGGGTGGCATTTAGCTTCTGCCAGCTCACTTCCACACCCTTGGCCATCTTCTTTGCCACAAACTTGGAGGGGTCCTTGACGATGGACCTCCATTCTGCTTCCGTCTTGGGCTCTAGAATCATGACCGCGAAGACATAGTCCTCGGAATCCTCTGCCATGAACAGCTCCTCCATTGAGATCTCCTCCTCCATGTATAGTCCGCATGACCATCAGGTGATGATGGCTGCTCAGGCACTCCCGGTGTTGGTTGCTCGCCAGCTCCAGCATAGCCTCGAAGTTCTTGCTGTCGCAGAAAATCTTGCCTCTGGACATGGTAGGGTCGCTCCACGTGCTCATGTCGAGCTCGTGCACGAAGAAATGGAGCGTGCTGAAACAGTGGTCCTTGTTCACCTGAGCCCAGCGGGAAGTGGTTCTGGTCGTTCAACAACCGCTGAGCATCGAGATCTTCGCAAATCTCGTGGCGTGGATCAGCTTGCGCCATCTCAGGCGCCAGAAACGGTTCGTCTGAACCACATCCCGGCTCATGATGCCCCGTTGGTGAACGCCCGGTAGGATCTGCATCATCTTCTTCTCGAGGTCGTTCTTGTGATGCTGGTCGTTTCCTGGAAGGTGATTCTTCCGGTTGCAGTTCACCAACTCGCTGTCTTAAGGCTAGCTTGCTGCCTTTGGGTCATGGTGTCCGTCGAACTCGCCCTTGGAAATGAGGTCGGTGAGGTCGTTGAAGGTCCAGGGCATAGCCAATGGAGTATGGCTCTCCGCGATGACACGCTCTCGTTCTGAAGCAAAACGAAGTTGACTGGCGTGCGCCCGTTTGAGCCTGCCGCTGGCAATGATCCAGGCCACCAAATGTGGTTGTCGGACTTGTCCTTCATAGCTATTCTTGGTCTCCAGCGCCAAGATACGAGCAGGACCATACCAGCGAGCAACACGTCGTCGGGGAATGTCCAGGAGCTGGTGGGATCGCTCCTTCTTGTCAGCCGGTGGCTGGTAGCGCTTGTAGTATAGACCAAGTCCCCTGGATGGTATCGGACCCGTGGCTGCGCGCGGGCGTTGGGCTGCTTGGTTGATCTTGTGCTGAAGGGTCAACTTCCGTTCTCTGCCTGCAGCCGCTGTTCCAGTCTCTCCTTCATCTTCTCCCCTGTACTCATGCCCGACCAATAGGGAAGATCAGGTCCTTCACGAAGTCGATCGGCCTCAGTGGGGTTTCTGCCGAAAACCCATTGCATTGGCGAATAGCCGCCTACGTTGCTCATGGTATTGTGTGCTGGGTGGCAGTCTCAGGAGGTGCCTCTGTTGACCTCAGTTGAGCCATGAGCTTTTGCTTCAAATTCCCAGTCAGCCGTTCGACTTGCCGATGTATCCACAGTGTTCTGCTGGGATGGCTTCCACCTCATCCCATGGCCTTCAGCCCATTCTTCCAGTTGTCGGCCCCGATGTGCTCCTTCTTGATGCACTTGGGGTAGCCGAAGTACTGGATCCATCCTTGATGAAGGGCTTGCAGCACCTCGGGTGTAGTGGGGTTCCTGCTGGCAGAGACGTGGTGCTTGAAGAGGAAGTTAGCTGCCCCGTAGGAGGAAGCCTCGTCCACAATCACCTGGAAGTGGTAGGTCTCTTCATCCACGGTGAATTCCATGTTGTCCAACTGGATCACTTCCAGCTGGATGACCTTGTTGAAGCCAGACTTCTTGCTGAGGTCGCAGTCGTTGAAGAGACCACAACGAATTCGCATGCCTCCTTGAGCTTCAGGAGCAGTGGTGAGTCCACTGTTCCCTTCGCAACAAAGCTCCATGATCTTGGGAGGCCTTTGGGTTTGGTCGGCTTTTAGACTCATCAGAATGTCCTCGCGCTCCTGCTCATAGTCCTCAGCCATCATAGCAAGCAGGCAGGCAGTGTCGGAGTCGGTCAGCCTTCGGCCTTCGCCGGATTCATCACTGTCAGAGGAATGGGGCTGCTGACCTTTCTTCTTCCGCTTCTTGCTGCTGGCTGGTGCTTCAGGCAAAATGCCTGAAGTTGGCAAATGCCATCATCCTCGGTGAAACTGCCGCCTTCTCGGACTCCCAGGTAGTACTTGTCCATGATCTCCTTGGACACAATCTCCGGCCGGTTGGGATCCGTTGGCATAGGCGGTGAGGGTGCTGTGGAAGATGAAAAACTGTGCATAGCACATGCAAAACTTGGTGAGGAACTCTTCAAAGAGGTAGTTTCCCCATCTAGCCGTTGTGAAACTGGTGAAACTCGCGATCCTTGATCTACCCGAGCCATCTTTGTCTTGTTCTTCACATCGAAGTTGGGCGCCAGGCTGTCACCCGTTCCCATTCCTCCGCCTCCTCGTTCTTCGGCTGGGTGTGGATCTCAGCACTCTTCTTGCTTCCTGTCAGGGCCATGGTGATCCGGGTCCTTGGGATACCCTGACATGATGCGTGAAGGGCGTCCCGGGCCTTGGCCCGTTGGGGAGCCCGAAGTGGTCTCGGCCGAGTACTTGTCCTTGCGTTGCTGGCCACCCACTGATCCTTCTGCTTGCGGATCGTTTCCATGCGCTTCTCCAAAGAGCGCTCTGCCGCATCCAGGCCGATCTTCTTGTTCAGCTCGATGCTGCCCTTCTCCGGCTTCTGCTGGCCAGGCGTCGGCCGTCAATGGCCCGGCCTGCCTGGTCAGGCCGCGAGCTCCGAAAGCTGGTGTGTAGCTCATTCGAATCCCACACTCCGAGCGGCCGATCCATGCGGCATGGGCGTTGCTGCCCGCGTTCGAGCCGCGTCCCGGCATCGAAGGAGTGTGCTCGCCGTGGCATGGTGGGCCCGTCGCTCTGGGATCGTCCTTGTTGATCCCCTGGGTGCGGCTGTAGTCGTACCGCTCCGAAGCTGGTGCGATGGACTTCTTCTTCTCCTTCGCCTCTTGGGCGCCATGAGCTAGTGAGGGATCGTTCGCGAGGGCTGAGAGGATGCCGTCCCGCATCACTTGGTCAGCTTGCGCCAAAGGGCGTCGGTGGTGATCATGAGGATCAAGCATGTATGCGGCTTCAAGATCTTCACCTGACTCATGACCTTCTGCCTCAACGCAACGTTCAACCACAAGAGCTTGCTCATGAACTTGAGGAGACTCAAAGTTGGTGCAATGCTCGGTGTGCATGTGGTTCAACATGTCATGAGTTGCATGTCGTGAGAATGCTTGAGAGGTCATGGGATCAACTGCGCACGGAGGACTGCTCACCTTAGCCTTGTACGCTGCGCGAGATCGTGGTGCATGTTGCTCCAAGGGCTGGCCCATGGTGAGCCAGTCAGTGCGAAGATCAACTAGAAGGTGTCCCGCCTTGCTCTTTCCAAGAGGGATCTTGAGATCAGGTGCCACATTGGAAAGCACCATCGAACGGCCGCTTACATCGATCACCGCTCCAAGGCGATCAAGGGTGCGCATGCCAATTAAGATCGGCACCTTCTCGGCGTCGAGAGTGAACATACCCAGCATTACGCTGTTCTCTCCAAGCTGCTGAGGCACCAGCGCGATGCCACCATTGCCAAAGCGAAAAGGCTTGACTGCAGTGGGTCCAGTGAAGACCTTGATGTTCAACCGTGGGCTTGGTGACGTTGCCACATCAGCATCTCCAAGGCTTCGAGGGATCCCACTGGCTCAGTAGCACCGAGGTCCAATGAAAACCTTTTCCAGTCGTTGGTGAGCTGCTGGCACTGCGTTTTGGGCAGTTGCGGAAACCATGAGACTTATCTCCGCTGATGAAGCATCCGGTGGATGATGAATCCGCTGCCAGCACCGTCTCATTGGCCATGAAGGTCGAAGGGATAGAGCTGCTCGGCGGTGAAGATGTCATAGGTGGGCGTCCTTTGCCCTTTTTGCTCTTACTCTTGCCTTTTCCTTTCTTGCCTTTGAACAAGGATGGTGGGTAGAAGCCTCTGCTCTTACCCTTTGCTCTTTGGAACTGTCGGCGCTGCAGGAAGGTCTTGGCCTTGTTCTCATAGACGGAGTAGGCCTCTTCCAACTCCTTGTTCTCCTCCGGCGAGAGGTCGTCCATGTAGCCATCATCACAGGCCCAGAAGGCTCCATGACCATCAGTCTCATACCACTCGCCTGACCAATCCATGGCATAGCCATGCCAACCATCACTCTCTCGAGTCCAGTAGATCTCGGTGTCATCTTCAGGCGAGGCCTCCATAGGTCCAGGATCATATACTTCAGGAGGAAGTTGGTTGCCAACCCAGTGCACTTCTCGGCGGTGAGGTCGTCCATGGTGGTCTCGTCCTGTTTCACGAGAAGCCCTCATGAACCAGACTCTTCAACCCAGTAGGTGCGCCGCTTCGAGGGATGTCTTGTAGCATCAGCTTGAAGTAGCTCTTCTTCTTGATCTCGAAGGGCGGTCTCGATGTCCCTGAAAGTGAGGCTGTTTTGTACGCTGGCTTGGACGGACCTGCTGGCTGCACTCAAGTTAGCCCGTCGAAGAAGTAGCCAGCCGAGCACTTCGTCTGGTAGGACTTGAATTGAATGTCCTCAACCTCCAACTCATCCCAGGGTAGATCTTCACCAGGCGACGAAGTGTCGTTGTCCGAGTCGCCCCAATGGCGTCGGTCACGTCGCCATTGTCGCCATTCTTCAGCGGTCCACCCTTCCTCTTGTTGCCACGGGTCATCGAGTGGTTCTTCTGCTGCACCTTGTTCACCAGCTTCTCCTGCATAGTCTTGAGGTCGGAGTTCTGGTGCTCTGGTCGTCGGTGATGACGGTCAGGTCGTAGTAGCTCCTGCTGCTGCTCTGGCGATGTAGGGGAGCGACTTGGTGGCTCGGCTTGAGGTTCAGATTGAAGGCTCCGTGCTACAGGTGCTTCCGATGAGGGTGCCTGTGGCTTCTTCTGTTGCCGAGCTCGAACCAAGGCTCTCTGCACCTTTCTGTAGGCTTCGAGGACATGACCACTGGCTCATTGGCATCCCAAGCACCTTCTGAGATGGTAGCCATCGAAGATCACCTCCGTGATGTCGAGGAGGTAGCCAAGCCCTGCGAGTAGAGCTCAAGGTCGTTGAGGGAGGTGCCCAACGCTGCAGGAGCCCAGGAAGTTCGTGAGGCGGAAGTCAAGGATGGAGTATAGCTATCAAGGTCTCAGGAGATGGCAATCGCCAGAGCTCCCCTACCAATGTGGGTAGCTATGTGGCTTCCGAAAGCAAAGGTGTGCAAATGCAATACAAAAGCTCAGCTGGTCGACGCGCACCAAATCGGTTGCCTTCACGGCGGGCTGGTCAGCCTTCAAAGGCTCGAGCTAGCCACTCTATGGCGGCGCGGGAGTTCGCGGTAGCGCGAAGGTCCGAGAGGACCGTATGGCCGAAGGGTACCCTCGAACCAAAAGATAGTCCCGGTATGTGTGGCATGACCTTCACTGAGCGGGGCGAAACACATACACTTAGCTGACTTTCTCACACGGGAACGGGAAAGGGAAAGGGAAAGGAAGGGAATGGCAAAAACAAAGCAATCCAACAAGGACAGACACTTTGCCAACCAATAGGACAAGGCAAGCCACTGGAAAGCTGTTGCAGCAGGTGATGAGTACAGTATATGGCCCAGGGGAGGGGTGCAGTACAATTTCTTCGAACTTCCTACCCCCCAAAAAAGATGACCGTGCCATCTTCTGACGCTTGCACTTGTAGCGCGCAGCTTTTCAGTAGCTGGAGCAAGGCCCTTTCTGGACATCGCGTTGCGCATTCTCATGTGGGTGCTTGCCATTGCCAAAATGCGCCATCTTCCGTTTGTACGCGCCATCATTATCCAATTCAGTGTAATAGAGTTGAACTTAGAACACCCTGCCTACCAAAACCTACCTCTGCATTGTTCCCTTACCACACGCTCTTGATAATGTGAGAGCATCAAGTTCTCTGGTACAGATTGATAAATGAACTGTAGACCCAAAGCAGGTCAAACGTATCTTTGATTTCGATCGCTTGCCGTGATAAGCAAGCCTCCCAACATGACTGAACAAATCAGGGCGAACAGGAAAACGCCGAACCAAGTCTACAACAGGCTAACCCACGCTCCCTTTCAAATCTACCCCAAATGCCGGAGGATATTCGTTGTTTTGTTGTATAATTTCTTCGTAGCAAGGACCTGCAAATCAACACACCCTGCAGCCTCTGCAAGTCAAAAAAATATAGGACCGGATAACCCCACATGGCCCACATGTTAACAACTTCGCAAGACACAGGAGCGGACAATTGGTAATTGACAATTGGTTGGTGGCAATTGGTTGGTAGCAGTTTGTTGGTGGCAATTGGTTGGTGGCAATTGGTTGGCGACAATTGGTTGGTGGCAATTGTTGGGTTGGTGGCAATTGGGTGGCAATTGGTTGGTGACAACTGATGGGTAGCAATTGATTGATGACAGTTGGTTGGTGACAATTGGTTGGTGACAGTTGGTTGGTGATTAGTTGGTGGCAATTGGTGGGTGGCAATTGGTTGGTGGAAATTAGTTGGTGGCAAGCGGGAGGCGGGAGGAGGAGGAGGAGGAGGAGGAGGAGGAGGAGGAAGGAGCGGATACAACACAAAAAGCAAAAACCCCACACGTCAATGCGGGGAAGAGACACGAGCGCGTAAGACACGCTGGCAGAGCGTCCCGCACCTGCCACGCAACTCAGACCGCCAACCCTGCGGCGACCCCACGACACCCAGCGCGTACATCCGACCCCTTGGAGAGCACCAAGCGCGCCTGCCACGCAAATCACGCCGGCACAGCTGCGGCGACCCAGCGACCTCAAGGCGCACATCCCGACCCCTGGAGAAGACCAAAGTACAAAACCTGCCACGAAAAACACAGCACAAACACAAATCCTACACAAATCACAGCGGCGGAAGCCCAGCAGCCCCGGCCACCACCGGGGCGTACGTCCCACGCTACACAAATCACAGCGGCACAGCGGCGGAGACCCAGCAGCCCCGGCCAGCACCGGGACGTACATCCGACCCCCTGGTGAACACAAAAGTACGGCGCCTGCCACGCAAATCACAGCAGCGCAAACACAAATGCTACACAAATCACAGCGGCACAGCGGCAAACACCCAGCAGCGGCCAGCACCGGGGCGTACATCCGACCCCCTGGAGAACACCAAAGTACGGCGCCTGCCACGCAAATCGCAACAGCACAAACACAAATGCTACACAAATCACAGCGGCAGAGACCCAGCAGCCCCGGCCAGCACCGGGGCGTACATCCGACCCCCTGGTGAACACCAAAGTATGGCGCCTGCCACGCAAATCACAACAGCACAAACACAAATGCTACACAAATCACAGCGGCAGAGACCCAGCAGCCCCGGCCAGCACCGGGGCGTACATCCGACCCCCTGGTGAACATCACAGCAGCACAAACACGTCTGTGACAATTGGTTGATTGATGACAATTGGTGGGTGGCAATTGGTTGATGACAATTGGTGGGTGGCAATTGTGGGTGGCAATTGGTTGATGACAGTTGGTTGATGACAGTTGGTTGGTGACAGTTGGCTGGTGACAATTGGTTGGTGGCAATTGTTGGGTTGCAATTGGTGGGTG